TCCTGGTGGTGACAGACAAGTTCCTCTCTGCCATAATTTCTTCCGTGGACCAAATTCCGTAGGTAGCTCTGGGCTAGCCCGTTATGATCAGTGAGGCAGCATGGCCTAGTGGAAAGGGGACCAGGTTGGGAGCGGCGTGACCTGGTTTTTACTCCCAGTCCTTTGACTTGCGGTATGATCTGGAGCGAGGCATGGCCAAGCCCTGTGCCTCAGTTTCCCCATGTGTAAAGCAGGGATGACAGAAGTCAGAAAGGGTCCAGACAAGGCAACTTGGGTGAGCTGAATTAAGACCAAAAGTGCTTTCAAGGAAGAACGCATCTAGCGAGCCTTGTGGGGTGGTGGCTGTGTTCACGCGCTTGCCTTTTCAGTGATGCGAATTCCACTGTGCCATTCTGATCCCAATAATGCCGGGGGAGCCTTTCCTCCAGGGAGGAAGCGGGACCTCGCGGTGAAAATACAGGACTGGGAGTTGAGAGAACTGGGCTTCCTCCCTGCCTGAGCATGGGCAAGCTGTACCTCCGTGTCCCCCAATTTTTAATACAGGGATCACGTTGACTAATACTCCGCACCTCCATACGCTGGAGAGCGGAGTCCGAGAGATTACCTAAGAGGGCTTTGGCAGCTCCCGGAGAGGCTGCAGCGGCGGCTAGAGCAGGGCTACTCCTCTTTGGAAGCCCCGGGGGCCACAATGATACTCACAGCACATGCCGAGGGCCGCAACTTAAGTGTGGTTGCATAGACATGCAAATATATGCAAATAGCTCCTTTCACACTAATGGGCACGAATACAAAGATTAAGGCAAGACTACACAACACACAGGCCCCATTTAAGTCAGTGTTGCTGATATTAATAAAATGCCTTATTGACCCGATTTCCAGCCATATGACAGCACTTTTAATGAGCAATGACAATCCAAGAATGTAACTACTAAAACGCACATCAACCGAAGACCATTATATTGATTAGTTTTTTGTTTTGTTTTGTTTTGTTTTGGCTTCACAACCGTCCACGAATTTAATTACTAAAATGCACATCAACCCAAACCACACCGTGAACCCACATTGCACCACGGGTTGTGTGTTGAGTAGCCCTGGTCTAGAATATGATGGATGGGAAGACTACCCCCCCACACACACACCCCCCAAAAAACTTGTACACTGTTCTGGCCAAGGGAGCATTGAGTCTGGCTGTTGCATTGTCAGCTGTGGAGGTGTCACTTGTACCATGTTGCTGTTTTCGCTGCAGCGCCTGGGCGCCCCAGTTGCGGCCCGGGATCCCCACCGTGCGAGGTGCTGTACAAACACAGACCAAAAGACCACCACTAGCTTGCAATAAATGAGCAGATTTGTAATGGGGAGAGGTCATTTGCCATTAGAACCACTAGTGGTGGATTCCCCCAGCACACAAGCCTGGATGTCTTTCCCATAGTTCTGCGCTAGCTCAGCGGTTTTCAAAACCCCTTTTTTTTTTTTTTTTTTTTTTTCTCCCGCCCCTGT